AGCCTCCTCGGCCATGGAGGTTACATTGCTGTCTACAGCCTTCCAGATTCTCGAGTCTTCGCCGGGCTTGACCCACGATGTAGTCCTTGAGCCCCCGCAGCTCTTCCTGTCTGATGTGATTAAACGTAGCATCTCCAAACATAATGCTGGGGACTGGAAAGAGGTGGCTCTAAGGGTGCTTGCGCTCAGCGGTGCTTACAACCTTGTGAGGTAGACACACACATACACAAAGGTCTGGGCGCCTCTAGAGGCGGAAAAGCCTCAGATCGGAGCCAGCAGTCCCGAGGTAGTAGAGACATCATAATACATTGAAGACTTCACTCCCAGCTTAGTATGTCTTCTATATGCATTTGAGAGCAGGGCAGTAGGCCTCTTGCATATTTCACCTCAGGTGACACCCATGTTCCAACGTATTTGCCTGTGAAGATTTATACGGGATTTACTATGAGAAAGCCACAGTGGTAGCCCTGATACACTCCAGGGAATCATAAGACACTCTTTCACCTGAGTTGAGCACAGAAAAAACGAGATATTGTGAATGAATTAGGAAGAAGAAAGGAAGAAAAAAGGCAAATAGTTCCCAATTGTCTAAAACCTGGAGAACTAGAGAAATTATATTAAAAGCAGTTGTTTAAAACAGGGATGATTAGAGAAAACTGTTCAATATTAAAAAAAAAAAAAGCTGTGTTCTCAAAACCATTAGGATGCCTACTATAAAAAAAAAGAAGAAGAAGAAGAAGAAGAAAAGAACGAGTGTTGGTGAGGATGTGGAGTAATTGGGATCCTATGCACTGTCGGTGGAAATGTAAAATGGTGCAGCCCCTATGGAAAACTGTATGATGGGTTTTAAAGAAATTAAAAATAGTTTTTCCACTTTGGGTATATACCCCCAAGAATTCAAAGCATGGCCTCGAAGAGACATTTGTATACACATGTTTATAGCAGTATTATTCACAATAGTTAAGAGATGGAAGTAACCCAAGTGTCTGTTGATTGATGAATGGATAAACAAAATATGGTGGAAACATGCAATGGAATATTATCCAGCTTAAAAAGGAAGGAAATTCTGACACATGCTACAACTTGGATTAAACTTGAGGACATTATATTAAGTGAAATAAGCCAGTCACAAAAAGATACTGAATGATTCCATTTATATGAGGTATCTAAAGCAGTCAAAGTCATATAAGCAGAGGGGGGGTTGTGGTTGAGTGATTGCCACTGGCTCAGGAGAGAGGGATAGCGGGAGTTGTTTAATGAGTATAGAGTTTCAGTTTTGCAAGATGAGAAAGGTCTGGAGATTGGTTGCCCAACAATGCGAGTGTACACTTAAAAAAATGGTTAAGGTGGTAAATTTTTTGCAGTGTGTATTTTACCACAAATAAAACCAAAAATACTTGACCAAATATACAAGCAGACCAAACCCAGCAACATATAAAAAAAAGTATATACTATGATTGGACAGGATTAACCCAGGAATGTAAAGTTGGTTTAATATCTGAAAAGCAATTAATACATCATATGTCAGTAAAATAAAGACAAAAACCCCATGATCATCTTAACAGAAGTGCAAAAAGCACTTGATAAAATCCAACATCCCTTCATGATAAAAACACTCAAAAACTAAAAATAAAAGGGAATGTCCTCAACCTGCTGACTGAATACTTTCCTCATAAGATCAGGAACAAGGCTCTTGCCACTCTGGCCACTTCTATTCTATTCTCCTCACCATTATTATTTTCATCACTTCTATTTGACTACATTGTACTGTTCTAGCCAGAACAATTATGCAAGAAAATCAAATAAAACATCCAGGTTAGAAAAATGTAACACTACTGCTATCTGTAGATGACATGATATACAAATTCTTGAGCAATTCATTTAAAAAGTCATTAGTACTGGGGCAACTGGCTGTGTCAGTTGATAGAGCATATGATTCTTGATCTTGGGGTCGTGAGTTCAAACCCCACACTGGGTGTAGAGCATACTTTGACAAAGAAAAAAGAAGCCATTAGTGCAGCCATTTTAGAAGATTGTCAATTCCTATGGGGTGCCTGGGTGGCTCAGTCGGTTAAGTGTCCAACTCGATCTCAGCTCAGGTCTTGATCTCAGGGTCGTGAGTTTGGGCCCAGTGTTGAATGAATGAATGAATGAATGAATGAATGAATATTGTCAATTTCTCACAAAACTAAACATACACTAAGCATATGATTCAGCAATTATGCTCCTTGGTATCTGCCTAAATAAGTTGATAAATCATGTCCACACAAAAACCTGCACACAGATGCTTATAGCGACTTTATTTCATAATTGCCAAATCTTGGAAGCAACCAAGGTTGCTTTTAGTAGGTGAGTGGATAAATGACCTGTGGTACATTCATACCGTGAAATAGTGGCACTAAAGAGACATGGGCCATTAAGCCATGAAAAGACATGTAGTAACCTTAAACACATATTACTAAGAGAAAGAAGGCAATCTGAGAAAGCTATATACTGTATGATTCCAACTATATTACATTCTGGAAAAGGCAAAACCATGGAGACAATAGAAAGATCAGTGGTTGCCAAGGTTTGGGGAGAAGGAACAAACAGGAGGAACACAGAGGATTTTTAGGGTAATGATTCTATAATAATGGTGGATACATAGCATTATGCATCTGCCAAAACTCATAGAATGTAAATCAAAATGAACCCTAATGTAAACTATGGGCTTTGGGTGATAATGATATATCAATGTCGATTCATAGATTATAACAAATGTACGAATCTGGTATGGGATGCTGATAGTAGGGAGGCCGGGATAGAGGGTAAAGGGATATGGGAACTCTCTGCATTGTCAGCTTAACCCTAAATTAAAATAAAAATCTAAAAAATAAAATCTATTCAAAATGTTTTAAAAATAAAATCTATTCAAAATGTTTTAAAAATGGGGTGCCTGGGTGGCTCAGTCAGTTAAGTGTCTGACTCTTCATTTCCACTCAGGTCATGAACTCATGGTTTGTGAGTTTGAGCCCTGAGTCCGGCTCTCTGCTGACAGTGCAGAGCCTGCTTGGGATTCTCTCTCTCTCCCTCTCTCTCTCTCCCTCTCTCTCTGCCCCTCCCCTGCTCACACTCTCCATCTCTCTCTCTTTCAAAATAAACATTAAAAAAAATTATTTTTTAATGTTTATTTATTTTTGAGAGACACAGAGACAGAATGCGAGTGGGTTAGGGGCAGAGAGAGAGAGACACAGAAACCAAAACAGGCTCCAGGCTCTGAGCTGTCAGCACAGAGCCCGACGTGGGGCTCGAACCCACGAACCGAGAGATCATGACCTGAGCTGAAGTCGGCCGCTCAACCGACTGAGCCACCCAGGCGCCCCTAAATAAATAAACTTTAAAAAAATGTTTTAAAAATAATGATTCATGTTACAATATGGATGAACCTTCAAAACATTATGCCATGTGAAAAAAGCCAGACACAAAAGACCACATATCTTATGATTCCAATGATATGAAATGTCTGAAACAGGGAACTCAACAGACA